CAAATGGACATTTTCCACCTAATATCCTAGAGGGAATTCTATTTATCAGATACACTGCAGTCATAACACACTCTCCCCAAAACCTTAAAGGTACATTAGCTTGAAACCTTAAGGATCTGGCAGTGTCTAGTATGTATCTATGTCTTCTCTCCACTACCCCATTTTGTTGAGGGGTATAGGGACATGTACTTTGATGAGTAATACCCTCTGCACCAAGTAACTCCTTGAGCCGGCTGTTGAAAAATTCTCCTCCATTATCTGTTCTGAGAATTTTGACAGTAGAAGAAAACTTTGTTTTAATCAAAGCAATGAAGAATTTCAGTACCACAATTGATTCATCCTTAGAGTTCATAAGGCACACCCATGTGAATCTGCTGAAATCATCTACAAGAGTTAAGAAATATTGTTTGCCATCATAAGTAGGAACTCTAAAGGGTCCCCACACATCTGCATGTATAAGATCACCCAATGCATAACTCTTTGTAGTGCTATCTGGGAAAGGTAAGCGAGTTTGTTTTGCCAAAGGGCATACAGAACATGGATCATTACAGTCAACAAGCTTTGTGTTTCCAAACATATGCATTCTTTTCATAGTTTCCATAGGCACATGTCCTAATCGTTTATGCCATAAAGCAGCATTTATTCTATTAATAGGTAATATAGAAGAAATGAGACCAACAGGCAATCCTTCATGTGTGTTGATTTTGATACTTTGATCCAGCACATATAATCCATGCTCCACTCTACCAATCCCCTTCACCTTGCCACTGCAAATGTCCTGGAATATACAGCAGGCAGGAAAGAAGGCAAGAAATAAGCCCAAGTCCTTGGTCAGTTTAGATACTGATAACATATTATACCTAAACCTAGGTATAAAGAGCACATTCTTGATCACTATGTTGTCTAATATGCTGGAAGTCCCTAAGTGTGTGATTACACTTGTCTCTCCAGTAGGTAACTGTACCTTTCTTGAATTACTCTCAGACAACTCCATATAATCAATGTACAGATGTAGGCTAGACACCATGTGATTTGTAGCTCCCGAGTCTATAATCCATCTGTTTTCTTTGATCATACTCAGAAGTGACAATGGTATACCTGTGACCTTGGCATGGGCAGCTGTATCAGTTGGAGTGTTGGTGTTGATGTTGGCCTGGTTGAGCATTTTCAGCAACTGAAGGTACTGCTCTTCTGTAAAGAAATGTCCTGCAGGTTCAGGTTTTGTCCTTTCCATCTGTTCATTGGAAGCTGTACAATTGTCCATCTGCACATGTGCTGCAGTTGCATTCCTTCCAAAATTCTTCCTCCTTGGTTTGAAATCTGCAGGATAGCCTACCAATTTGTAACAGACATCCCTAGTGTGTCCCTTGTACTTGCAAAATCACAATACAGCTGATTCTTCTGCTTGTAACCTCCAGTGTATGCTTGTCCTGTGTTATAGCCCACAGCATTAGCTCCATAACCTGCATTGGAAGCCGATGAGTTAGCTACATGACCTGTGTTGTAAGTCATTGCTTGTGCTCCTATTTCCAAATTGCTGATATTGGCTGCCTTGGCTCTTTGGCTCTCATCCTGCACAGCCATTGCATAAGCTTCATTGATGTTTGGAGTTGGAATCATCAACATAATCTGACCTTTTGCTTGGGCAAATGATTCATTTAGACCACTTAAAAACTGCACTAGACGCTGTTGCTGAATATGTTCCACAAATATCCTTGACTCGGGACATGGACATGAAGGAGTAGGTGTCATGGCATCATATTCATCCCATAGGTCCTTCAGTTTAGAATAATAAACAGAGACTGGTGCCAAACCTTGCTTGAGAGCTATAATTTCCTGCGACAAATTGTAGATCCTAGAGATGTTCCTCTTATCAAAGCGTTCCTTCAGATCTCTCCACACATTATACGCAGAAGATCCATAGACCACAGTGCTATAGAGCTCTTTGGTAACAGCATTCATTATCCAGGATAGCACAAATGCGTTACATCTCTCCCACTGATCATGCAAATTTTGCCCGAAATTCTCCTTCTTACAGGTTCCGTCAATGAATCCAATTTTGTTCTTCGTAAACAGTCCAATTCTCATAGATCTAGACCACAAATTGTAGTTCTCTGTCCCTATCAGCTTGAATTCAATCAGATGCTCTCCCGGCGTATCTGATGGTCGTAAGTACAAAGGATGAGTGTGTCCTAGTACCGCCTCAACGGGATGAGTGTTTCCCTGTCCAGTCTCAGCATTTAATCCATCATTCGCCATTTTTTGCTCTGAATGAAGAACCCTAGCTCTGGGACGGCGACCTCCGACGAAAATGAAAAATTGAGAGAACAAATTAAATTGTGAGATTGATAGAAAGAAGAGAGAGACAGCGGAATTAGATCGTCCGCTCTGATACCATATCAGATTTCAAAGAAGGTAGCCATGCATGAGTGATTGAGAGAGAAGAATAATTGCAGAACCTCCATTATTATTCACGATTGGAGAAGAAAGACAATCACTTACGGAACTAATCTCTACTCATTTACTATATACAGATATTAACTAACTTTAATAGTTAAGTTAGGTACTAACTTCTAATTTGCATACTTTAACCCCTAAAGTTTCTTTCTATACAAAGTACTACCCTGGCTCAATAGAAGCAATATTACAATGTGTCAAAAGGAAAGTCTGTCATGAAATGGTTTATGGGAATCTTTCACGAACAAAGCGAAGACAATCATACATTTAACATAGTATTTCGAGTTTAAAGTAAAAAAGCAATCAAAATCCGATCCCTAAAAAGGAGGGGTCCAAAATCAAATACAGTATTCTTTTTTTGAGATTAGATAAAACGCTTTTACTATTTTCATTTTGCCCAGCAGAAATACTATGCAGTGAGAACAAGTTGCTATCTCTTTGTATTTCGTGGTGACTAACACACTAAGGGCCCGTTTGGCCATAAAAACTTTTTCACTTTTTCCCGAAATATTTTATTTTTTTTCGAAATAAGTGTTTGGTCATAATATTTTTAATTTTCACTTGAAAATGAATTTCGGAATTATTTGAAAATTTAAAAAACTCCAAAAAAATATTTTTCAAAATTTTCACTTCAGATCACTAAAAGAAATAAATCAAAAACAACCCAAAATTGTACTTATATCCAAATACTATACTAATTTTTAAATACTATTTTTACTTGAAATTTTTTCACTTTTTCCGGAATTTTGCGATTCTTATGTCCAAACACGCACTAAGTCGATTGAAATCCAATTGCGCGTTTACAAGAAAAAATCTTACAATAACTGTGAGTAAACTATCTGATATATTGAGTTGTTATTTTGATATGTCTCTTGGAAAGGAAAAGCGTAAGAATATTGACCAGTAGATTTTGATGTTTTAATTTTTTATGCGCGGACCAGGGGCGGATCCACCCTTTCGGGTGGGGTGGTATGACCCTCGCTAGGTTGGTAAAATTATGAATATATTGTTATATATTTATGTAGAAATTTTCTTAAACTAAGTTAAACATTTATTCCTGCCATCCTCAATCGCAAATTAGACAAAGATGCCAGAGTTAGTACGTAGACCCTTTGAAAGCTTTTCTAGTGTGTAACATTCAAGTTAGAATTTATCTTGAACCTTATCTGACTTTTCCTTTTCATTGTGCTTTTCATTCCCTTTGTCCCAATCGTTTTCCTTTTTGGCTATCTCCCAATTTTCTATTTGTCACTTATCATTTTTATAAAAAAAGTTTCCTCTTTATTTTATTGTGATCTCAGCAAAAACACTCAAAAAAGAGCCTCCAAAATTTAAAAATTCCATAAAATAATTAAGCATTTCTCTTAATCTCAAATCCTTTAGTTTTTTTCTTTCAAAAGCAAAAAAACTTGGGTCTTGATAGGAATTTTGGATTGAGATCAAATTTAATTTTTATAATTTTTTTTGCTATAACATAAAAATGTCTGCTATTTTATAATTGTTAAATACAATTTAAATCTCTTTACTATTAAATTATGGTAAATATTTTGCAAGCATTGCCTAAATAATATGAGATTTATGATTTTAATTTTTGGGATCTTGTAATTTATCTAATTCTGCATTTACTTATGGCTTACAATTTATCTATTGAAGATATTAATTTTTTATTTTTCTTTATTCTGAGTGGTGGATTCCCTTATTGAAGATGTTATTTTACGTATGCAAATTTATTTTTATCATACAAAAATGATGTAGTTCTCTAGTGAAAATGTTGATTTTACTTATATTGTTAATAATAAGGGGGTGATTCCTTCTTTAAAATGCTAATTACATTTGCTTCTTGATGTCTGATATGTAATTTTCATACAACAATAACAACAACAACATACCCAGTGAAATTTCATAAATAGGATATTTGAAAGAGTTGTAATTTTCATATTTGCAAATAAAAAATGCCTACTAATTAATTGGCCGAATAAATTAAAAAACAAAAAATGAAATGAATAAATGTTCTGAACAAGAATTGGTTCGAAACTATCCTAAATTCTAAATCCGCCTCTACATGGAACTATTTTAAATAGATGATTCAGAAAAGAGGCACGAGTTACAAAAAGAGGATTAAATATTAGTGCTTTTACGTTTCGCTCTAAAGCATGGAAATAAAAGCCTAAAGGACAACAATTTTACGTCACAGGTCAACTTCTGCATGCTACTTGAAATATGCATTATTTCTGCCCATGAACAAATCTCGCAAAAGTTTTGGTATTTTCATAAAAATCGTGTATAGTCAAACTAAGACATAAAATAAAACGGACGGAGTAATTCACTTTAGGTGTCTTGCGATCCTAAATTTCAGTGATAACTGTATGCTTGCACAAATCTGATGACACGAGCTGATCAGTTGTGTAAAATTAGCTCCTTATCAAAAAATTATGTAAAATTTTCTGAAAATATGATATGTGTGATTTAAAATAAAATATTCTTGCTGTTTACTGATAGTACGGCATAAACACGATACCCTAAATAGAACGTTAACGCAACGATTGGATAAAATATCATTTTTATTGCTAGTATGAATTACAGAATATAATCTAGCCAACACAGCCAGCAGCCTCTCTATATATAAGTAGCAAGACAACTATTTCATCCTTTTGCGTACATTTACAAGAGAAAGCTTACACGAAACATGAGTAAGAATTAACTTGTGCACAAACACATTAGGATATTAGGAAAAAGAAGAGGAATGACAAGAATTGGTGCGTAACTATACTAAAATCACTGCCAATTCCAGAAGTGAATGGTATATTTTAGGCTTTCACAGTTTGCAGCTTGGGTATGTTTTCTACTTTAGCTACACATGTATTATCATGCGGACACGACGCTACGTGTACTTTATCTGAACAAACTAGTAAACCAAGCTTCACAATATCAATAATCTGTTCCTGTGTTAGTTCTGGGAACTTCGTGTTATTCATCTTCTCATCCACCACTATGACTGCTGGCTTTTGTATCTCTGGAAGTTTCTGCTCTTTTAGGTTTGCCTTCTCTTTTTTGTTGTATACTACATATAACACTATTTGGACAATACCAAGGAAGAATCCCAATACGTTTGGAGCCTATAAAACATAAGAAGGAAACTACATATATAAGATCCAAGATAAATAGTCTACGTATGTAAACATAGCGTAAATGTAGAAAAGTGGTTTGAGAAATTGAAAATAGAACTTACAGCAATGTTAATGTCTTTAAGTAGAAGACCATAGAAGAACCACATCACTGCACTTAACGTGAGAAACACTGACAGGAGTAATGGCATGTATTCCACACTCTTTGTTTTTATAACTTTTCTCTGCATAAAGTGAGAAAAATCATGAGCATTATATATATTCGTGCGTGGAAGTAAAATAGAGAAGACGACCACGTTTTGAAATATTTGTATGTAAAAGCTCACCACAATGCCTAAGGGTGCTACGAACACACACAAGGAAAACACAAGGCAAATCCATCCAACAACTTGTCCACGAACTGCTCCTTTGAACAGAAATTGGGTAACCAGAACTATAGCACCAAATCCACCCACCACTGATAATAGGAGCATTTTCACAGTTTGGACCTGTATTAAGTAAATTTTGAAAATCAAAAGTTACATTTTCTTGCTATTGGAAAGGAAACAAAGGAAAAAGAAATTTTTGGTAAAAAAAGGTACTTCACGTGATATCATGTTAAACCTTACCCTAGCCTTTTTTGGTGCGTAGAAAAGGTAGAAACCGACGTAGATAGTTTCAATGAAGACCCCAAAAGTGTTTATAGTAATGAGAAGTGTCGTGTTGGTCTTGAGAAATGCATAGTATATCCAAAGCATGGAACTAAATAGAGCAACCACATAAGGAATCGATTGATAGCCTTCAGTTGATTTCTTCTTGTAGATTCTATAAAACGTGGGCCTGTAAGTGTGAAAGTATGAGTGTTAGTCAGATTAAAAAAACCAAGAAAACTGAACATTTTCAAAATTATAAGCAAGTGGAAACTCACAGTGGAGAAAGGAACACAATGAACGAGACGATGTTACCTGCAATTACAAAAGAAAAAGAAAAGAGACGATGAGTTTAACCTCGAGGATGAAAGTTGATAGTTAAGGAATTCAGTCAGAATATTTTACATTTAAGAAGCAAGAAAGAAAAAGAGGCTTTATTTACCAAGGACACCAAAAGCAAAAGCCCAGTGACCAGAAATACCCGCCATCTCTTTTTTAAGTAAGTTTCTAGCCAAGAATTGCAAATTTCTAGCACTCGATCGGTCTCTCACCTAAAATGCTAGAGTTGCAAAAGAGTAGCAAGTTTTAATTTGTACTTGGCTGTGAAATGAGGAAGGCTAGGTTGACATATTTATACAAGCAAGGAATGGGAAGTAGATAGATATGCAACAGTTAAAAGATCCTTTTATTTTATTTGAAAAATATATAAATTAAAAGTGCAAAAAAGCACTCAGAGGAGTGAGGGTGCAATAATGGCAATATCATCAAAATTCAAGGGTCCCAGAACACTTCTTTATTATGTCATCCCCCAATCCTTAGTAGCACTTAGACCTACAAGTTACAGCTCATCATGCTTTTATTTTCTTAAAGGTGTTTGATTTTCTATTATTATTTTCTGTACGAAGTGAGCCCCAAATCAGCAAACAAAAATCAGTCCAGAAATGATGGAGGGGCCAATTAAAACTTTGGATTTACATCAATAATAGAGTTAGGGAAATGCATCCTGGTGGGGGTTTAGGCCAATGATCCGAACCTGTATGGTATAACAATAACATACCCACTATAATCCCATAAGGGGAGTCTGAGTAGGATAGTACGTAAGCAAATCTTATATCTATCTTGTGCATGTAGAGAAGCTGTTTCTGATAGACCATCGGCTCAAGGCAAGCATAAATACAGTTATTTAGAAAAGAAAAATGCAGTAGTAAAGAGGTCAAGGAAAAAAAAGCAGTAACAATAGCAAGCTAATAGTAAAACCGAAGTAGATGTAACATCAGGTAGTAATTAATAGCCAATCTAAGAATAAAAAAGTACGAGAATAATATTAAAATTACAGGTATGGGCCCAAAAGGAAAAACGTTAGACTACCTACTAATTTTCTACCCTAATTCTCGACCTACACACCCTCCCATCAAAAGTCATGTCCTCGGTATGCTGAAGATGTGTCATATCATGCCTAATCACCTTTCCCCAATGCTTCTTCTGCTCTTCTTGGACCTACCATTGACAACCTGTCGCACCTCCTCAATGGAGCATCCGTGCATCTCCTCTTCGTATGTCCGAACCATCTCAGTCTCGCTTTCCGTATCTTGTCCACCACGACAGCCATCCCTCTATATACCGAATATAATTCATTTCTGAACTATCTCTCATAGTGTGCCCACTATTTCTGACCCCGTATGTTACTAGTAGCAAAACAGAGAAAGACATGGAGAAGACGGAAATAATGTCTTGCCCCTCCTTCTACAAGTAGTAATTAGGCATCCCTAACTTTAAACATGGATCCAATTTGTTGTACTTATATTTGATCCTAGTGTGGGACCAAATTATGAAATTAGGATATGCTAAGCTGTAGTAAGCTTATCTAGTCCTAGTAATGTGTCATACATCTGTATGATGTACTATGGAATGAAATGGGTTTGTTAAATCTGTAAATGCTTGTGACATGTTGAGACTTAAGCCTAACATGTTTTTCTATGCAGGAGTTGGGCTTGAATTGATGCCAACTCTGTGAATTTTCTTTTTGAACATTTAACCCAAATTTTTTGATTATCCACTTGATTAGCTAAAGAAATTAACTATCTCCCCTGAATGCTCTACCCCAATAAATGTGGCACATTTGTATTATTGTATAGAGTAAAATATGTTTTTATTAAATGATCGCATGAGAAAGTGACACGTGGAGCCGAAGACAGAAGGCAGTCAGATCCGAAGGCAACGATCTCGTCTGTTACCAAAGAGAATGATACTCATAAAGGTGAAATAAATGTCTGCCACCCGGTAGTACTTAATGAAGAATATTCTACAGTATTAAGTTGTGTAATTGAGTTGATCCTTGTATCTATTACTAACTTGTTTGATTATTTGTTCTTAGCAAAAAACATAGAAAATGGCATATAACGGTGTCAATATCGCACACAACGTTGAAGTCCAAGGAAATCAGCGTCACCACGACGATTCAATCAGTAATACCCTCAACAAAGGGAATGAGGCCACGTTGGTCCATGCCGAACGGTATCCATAACATATTCGAGAGGCGACTCTTGATGATGCTGAAGAAGAGCACATCGTCGAAGTAGTAAGAATCTTGCAGGAGCAACAAGATGCCTTTATAGGCCATCTCACACGATAGGATAAGGTCATGACGGAGCTGAAGCATGCGTTGTCAGGAGCTTCTAACAACGCGAATGGACGAGGTCCAGTTCTTCCCGGTACTCCAGCAAATCAAACAACGCAGAGGGTCGACAACAACACCACGAGGGGCGAGGTCAGCTTCGATGGGGCCGGGGGGAGCGGATCCGGTGTCACACCCCAACCTCGGGAGGCGCGACCGGCGCTCAATCGAGTGAACCCAACTGAGCAAGCCTTTTGAACACTTTCTACCCAACTCACTATGACCAAGAAAACTATGCTTTCATTTATTTAGACAGTAGGAAAGATCGCACATATAACATTGCTAGTTCATTTCATATTACCACATTTAAACCAAAGTTAAGTTTCCAAGATTTCATACAGTTACAGTTTAGAAGAACTAGAGTTTAGAATTACAACACAGTTCATTGACCCATCCATCACCCGTACATAACCCACACAAACGTCTACGGAGCCTCTAAAGATGTAAAAGACAGTTATGATAATGCCGACAACAAGGTCCTGGCTATACCTCAAAAAGTGAAAATTTATAACAAAAGACATTCAGCCTAACCCCTGGAAGAAAAGGGGCTCACGAAGGTTGCTGAGTGGAGAATGCTCCACTACCTACGATCGGCACTGTCTGCTATGGAGCCACCTACATCCATTCAAAGATGTAGCACCCCCGGCAAAAGGAACGTTAGTACCATGGAATAGTACTAATATGTATAGCTAAACACCATCTCATTAGAAAGAACTACCATACAAGAACAAAGAAATCATAAGGATCAATCAAAAGCTTTAAACGATCACCACATCATCAAATAAAAGGATCATATAACTTTCACATAATTTCCATAGCTTTAGGTTGGGGCATTTAACACTGTTCATCATCATTCACAATACCACCGCTTTCTTGCGCGGAATCCGAGCACGACCCGATCGGCTAGGTTTCCTCATTTGAGACATGTATCTCAATCACAATCTCATTCTCACTTTTCGGATTCAATATCANTTGTTCCTTTTTCATTAATCATCTCATTTCAATCTTTATTTCACATATATCAATTCATAGGCACTTGGGGCCACAATTATCACATCATACTTGGCACTAGGCCACATTTCATAACTCAAGCTCTTTTTCCCCACGTTTCACATCATTTCCACTTTCAATGTTAACCTTGCAATTTAGGATAATAGGCACATACAAGAGCAATTCAAGTTGTAAGCATAGAGAAGATTTCACATAGTTTGGCATAACAATCTCAGTTTAAACTTGACTTGAAGTCTAGGCATTTCAACACATGGTTCACATTCTTCACACATCCTTAAATTACCAAGAATAGTATATTGAACACATTGAGACTCACCTTTCACATATATATTTGTAACACCAATTCATGTGAAATAACAATCAATACATCAATCAAATTTTGGTCTTACAACATTTGCATGGACACCAAAGGAGCTCAATTTCTAAGAAGAGGGGGTTTTAGCCATACATACCTCAATAGAGCTTTCCTTAAATTCTTACAAAATTCCGGAACTCTTAGCAACTTCGATCTACTTTATGAGAATTACAAGTTGAACTAAAAATTAGAGAGATGATTACGATTCTAGCTCATTTGAGTATATTATCAAGCACTAAGTGTGCATTGTGATTTTAGGACCTTTTTGGGAGAGATTTTTATCATCCTACACCCCATTTCTTATATTTTTATCTCAGAATCTCCCCATACCCTATTATCATTCATGCATGCAAGATCATCAATCCTCATACCCATGAACCCACTTGTTAATCACTTATTTTAATAGGAATTTCGAAATCAAGGTTAGGGCACAAGTTCTTACCTCTTAGGATGAAGGCCTAGCAATTTTACTTGAAAATCTTCAAAGATTTAGGCAAGGATTGTAGTGACTTGGTGAGAATTAATTTCTCCCTCTAGAACTCCTTCTCTCACTCTAAATGCAGTAAAAAATAGCATAAAAGGGTCTAATGGGGCGTTTTTAATGAGAAGGGGTCAGGTTTTAAAAGTTAGAAAATAGGAGCCCCGACTCAATCTGCGGTCGCATAACTGATATGCGGCCTGCAAAAGGGACCACAAAATGGCCCTCAAAACTTAAACATTCTGCCCCGACAAAAATGCGGTCCGCATACCTGTTCTGTGGTCGCATAATGCACCGCAGAACTGCCCCTTGCAAAAATTCCAAGGAGGTTATACGACGACTATTCGGCCCGCATATCCATTATGCGATAACATAATTTGGCCGCATAGTTGTCCTCAAATTAGCCAACATTCTGCCTCACTCTGCGGCAGTTATGCGGCCCGCATTGCTATTATGCGGTCGCATAATGGGCCGCAGAAACGCACTCTTCTGAAAAAACATTTTTCCTAAACTTTTTAATGCACAGATCAATCCAAAAGGTCCGCTTGGATTTTACAAATTTCTAACACATATTCCTAACTTGGCACTACGGGATTTCGGGTTTTTGAGTAAGAATTTTACGGGGCCTTACATCCTCCTGCACTTAAGATCATTCGTCCTCGAATGAGGATCAAGGTTCACTCATTAGCAACCTTAAGCAACTTCAGCTTTTTACACATCATGAAGCATATCAACAGCCCCAAATTTTGCTAACTCCCTAAATTCCCAAATTTTTTGCCAGAGTTTCCTTTGTAACTAGGCCTATCCACCTGCCAGAGAGCCCTAGAAACATATCCTAACAGCATATACAAAACCCATTGACCTGACATAACTCATAACGACACCAACCATGGCCCAGAGGCGATATATAACCAAGACGGAACAGTCTACATGGACTAGCCAAGAGATACAAAGTTCATAGGAACCAAATTTGTAGAAGTTATTACATGGCTATACAAACAAATGTGGGTACTTCTTCTTCATTTCTTCCTCGGCTTCCCAAGTGGCTTCTTCAACCTGCTGGTTTCTCCATAACACTTTCACGGAGGTAATTTC